CCACGAATCTCATCCAGCTGTTTGTATCCTCACTGCATACTCAGTATATACTGCACTCTTCTGTATCTTGACTTCTGTAAATAACACTGAAAGTTAGTGAGATGTTAGGTACAACTCCAGACAGATGAGAAACTTGGTAGTTTCTCCACAGCTGAGCTCCTGATTTCACAGGTGTAGAGGACTGCTAAGCCTCAGAAAATTAAGTTTCAGCAACTGCATTTGATTGTAGGACCTAGTAACTGTGCATTTCCTAACTGCCTTGTATTTGAAACCTCTATATTTCATCTGTTTATGTACTTTGCATTTAGTAAATAAATGGCAATAAATATCTAGTGCTTGCAGCTGTCAATTTATCTGGAAAGCTCCATCTGTTGCAGTACAGTTAGTCTGTGTACATAATGTTTTGGATGTGCAATATGTTTGCAGAATGCACCACGAGCAGCAATATCATGTCAAAAAATCAGCTGAAAACCCATCCTCCAGAGAAATGACAGAATGTGTCTCAGCTGGAGTATCAGTATGATGAAGAACTGCTCATAACATAAAACAATCTTAATTTTATGGTGCCACTACTGCTGTTTTAGATAAGTAGTGAAATTTTTAAGGGCTTCAACAACCACTTGTCAAACAGCAAACAGACATTTTGAAAAATGCTTCTGCCCACCTCTGTATTAAGTCTTGGGCACTTTCAACGCCATGAACACCTCAAAAAGGGCTTGGTTTTATTTTGTGTTGCTTTGGGGGTTTTTTACTTGGAAGCAGGCATTAGCTGAGAGAAAACAGAGGATGTTCAAAGGGTGTATTTATTGTATTTATTTACTGTATTTATTTTAACTTAAAAATGATTGCTCAGTTCATCATGAGCAATTAAATATCACTTATGAACACAACATGGGAAAATACAGACTACAATTTTTTTACACAACTGCCTTCACCTGATCTTGTTGAGAAGAAACAGTAGTTTTGTCATAGAGAAATAATTAAGGGTGGCGAAGGAGAGGTCCTAAACTACAGGGATCTTGACTGAAAGTGTCGATGCTCAACATCATCCTTAATGTTTTCTGTGCATTACAAACATTACACAGTCAGAACTTTTCACATTCCTTATTCTTTTTCCTAAAATGTTTGTTCTGACTCTTGGGCTGAACACACAAACGAGCACACAAACACAGAGGCACACACAAGACACAGAAGCAAAGCAGGAGCAGAGAGAAGGATTCCCAACCAAGTAAGATTGCACAGGTGAAACCGAGAGGAGAATTTGCCCCACTGACTGGTACTGACACCCAAAGTGGTGACTTTGATTCTGTCCTTAAACACACAGGAAATAAGTATGACTACTACCAAACCCCTGCTTAGGAAACAACTGATTCTAAAAAACTTCAGAAAACAAAAATATCCTTATCAATCTAGTGAAAAATCTGTAGATGATCCTCAAGACAACTGATCACCTGGGGCTATTTCACTCGTCCCATACATTAGTCTTACTTCACTTCTTTTCTCTGTGCCCATTTTTTTCAGGGTCTCTCTCATCCCGCTGTAGTATTTTTTTCATGTTACTGCTTCCTCTTTGGTCTGCTTCATCCTCTTCCCTGGAAGTCCGAGGTAGCATCCTTGTCAGTGGAAAATCTCACTCAAAGCCTATCATTCAGTATTTCTTCATTTTTCAGACAGTAGTTCTGACTCAAGTGGGGTCAGAGGAAGAAGAGGTTCTGACCAAGGAGAAGTTGACAATGCATCAAGAAACATGCAAGAAAAAACGTGCAGCCTTCCTCCTCTAGCTTGAAATTTAGGATCTACCCCAAAATACTTCTAAGAGGTTGTTTGGTTGGTTGTTTGGGGTTTTTTTTAATATGAGTGTTATTCAGTTAATTATGCAAAATGAGCCAGTGGAACTGGACTTACATGGTATTTACATGTTTTATTTAAAACATTCACCACTGCTGTAGTGGAAACCTGGAGAAAAAAGCAGAAGCAAGAAGATATAACTGAGTTTTCACCTAGGCTGTGGCTTTCTCTAAACCAGAGGCATGAACCCATTCCAAGCACAGCTCTGCCACTATAGGATGGATCCCATGCAAGATTAAGTACTAGCTAAGAAAAATGTTATCATCAGTCAATGTCATTTTGGCATCTAGAATGTAACTATTTCTTCTCACTGTGGGTATATGAGATAACTGGGGGAAATGAACAGGCATAGACTGCATTACACAAACTAATGCAACATTTATATAGGTACCATCAAGTCAGATCATATAGTGGCTGAAGAACAGGGAACTGCCTGCCAGAGACTGTTTCATGCATTTATGTGCAGAAACAAAAGGATTCCCTAGCCTGAGTTTCTTTAATCCATTTCATTGCATTACAGGTAATCACTTTGTCATATTTGTATACCTGGGAAGACACATGCTCTGTATGGGCAATGAAGTTTTTCCTCTTGTAAAAACGACCTTTGTCCTGAAGTTTTGGATTCCATGCATTGTACAGTGCTCAACATTGGGCAGGACTGTGGGGATGATGTCCTGAGTTCAGGATTAATTTTACTTAATCCTCTGTGCCACCTCTGAAGATTCAGCCTTTAGTGCATATAGACCTCAGGTGCAGGACAAGATGACGTCTTAGAAATGTGTTCTGATTTCTGTCTAAGTCTGGGCCTGAATGATATACCAGCCATACAATAGGCAATGAGCTAAAAATATAACATATTCTACAGGGAGCAAGTCAGGATTTCACATTTTTCCCAAGACTTCATATGTTAAGACCTTTGCATTGGCACAATGAGGCAGTTATGCAAGAACAATGATCTACTTTAAGCAACTGCACACTCCATACCTGCAAGTATTCAGTAACATTACCTGCAAAAGATTAGTGAAGCAGAATCATGCTGCCTACCCAAGTCCTCAAATTCCTTTTACAAGAAAGATAGATATTTGCCATGTGAAAGAAATCGACAGTAAAGGAGTCTACCTAGAAAAGAAGTATATCCAGAAAAGGCACTCCAATATATGTTTAATTTCACTCCAGATTAGTCACAGTCTGGAATTTAAATGCATGCATAAATGCTTTCTCAGATATGGTGACAGAATAGAGATCTACAGATCAAACATACAAGATTCTCTCATATCTAAGGGCTTTTGGTTAGTTCTGCTGAAATCAGTGCCTTCTCTCACTTTTAGATATTATGCTAAAATAGTTCAGGGGCAATACAGCTTGACCAGTCAATAATGAACAAGCATAATTAACTAAGAAATGAGTACTTCTCAGTCTGAAATAATTGTATTTTCTTATTTTGACAGTTGAGCATCCAACAAAATATGCTTAGCTTCAATACTGACCAGCTCATTCCCCACCACAGCCCCCCTCTCCTGTGTTACACATCTCTTCCTGTATTTGGCAAACAAATAGTATTTAGGTACAATCGAAGGAAAGAGAGAGAATTTCTGTGAGAATCCAAAAAGTATATGAGTAATTCCACTACTTTTTTCCCATTCAAAAGAAAAAAAATGTTTTTAAGATTTTGAAAAACTTTTAAATTATTTAAAATACTATTTTGAATATTTAAATCAGATTCTAAATGTTTGATAAATTCTGCTGCAACAAACAAGCTCATATGAGAAGACACAAAATAAGTTATTTCCCATTCTTAGACGTAAGCTTCTTGGTAGTCATTTCTCAACTGATAATCAACCCTCCCACTTTCTAACCTGTTTTGAAGACCACACAAGATGACATCAGAAACCAGCCATTTAGTAGCAGATTTATTGTAAATTAACACCTTACTAGGTAAAAAAGATGAGTGGTCTCAACGTTGCAGACCTAAAGTTAGCAACCACATGATTTATGAACAGCAGAAGATGAGGTTTTAAAAATTATGAGAACCAAAGACATGACAGTTTCACATTCGTTTCCATGAAATACTTTTGCCCCTGTTAACACTGCCTATCTCTTTTCATGCATTTGATCACAGCACAGTTCTCCACGGGATGACACTGCTCTACTCCCCTAATCTCTCATTCTATCCCCTCTACAGGAAATACTCTAAATAAATTACAAACAGAAAAAAATAAATAAATAAATCCAAACAATACAAGTTTCTGAGCTCACAGGGATTTTAATATGCAAATACAAGAGTGAATCCTTACCACTTGCCTCTGGATAATAATCATGAAAGCAAAGCTCCAAAACTGTCTGTGGATATAACATGTTTTGAATAGCACTACTGAGTTGCATCTGAATTACATTTGAAGACCAGTCCTGCCATCGTTACTTAGCTTTGACAGGATACAAGTCTTACACAGGCAAACTTCTGTTAAAATCCAAGAGGTTTGGTCCTTGTGCACACTAAATAAGATACATAAGAGGGTAATAGCTGCCAGGTTTGCTGACACCCAGAGTTAAACTGGTACACTTAAGGAATGAATGAACTAAACGTTGTGTTTGATCCAAACAGCACGCTTCTTTGACTATATCCATCTGGTTTATTAACCAGTTGATTACACAATTATGCATAATAACAGAATTATTACACAATTATTTATATTTTCATTGTCAAACATAGTAGGTGGGTTTACAGAAAGGAAATAATTAAAAATACAGTAAAGACAGTTTACTAACTAAACTAGTTACCATTACCACTACACAAGCAATAAAGAATTCCCTAGAAATTATTTCTATTTAGTTAGTTATACATTTAAATTAGAGGTCTAGAAATATTTAAACAGATTTGGTACCATGATCTATGTGATATATAGAACAGTACAGTCCCCTGGACTGGTTTCTGCTGATCCTAGCCTTTGACTGATTCAAGGCAATTTACATGAATTGGCATGTGGTTCCCAATGGGGATGCTAAGATGATGTAAAATTACTTACAAGAACCATCGCTAAAAGCAGGATCTAAGACTTTATACTGGCACTTGACACAAAGTAGATTCCATCCATGCTTGCTAGTTTAATGAAAATAAATATAGTGTTATTCTTCAGAGTTAGAATATTTTTCCTCTAGGGTAAGTAAGACAAGCTACTAACATTTCACATGATGGACTGATGGGGAAAATTGCTTTCTCTTGAAAAAACTGTATTGTCTTTTGCCATGTTTTCATTGGAAGGAACACACATATTTTGAATTATTGAATGGGCTAAGTACATTTAATCACTTGCTTTCAAGGAAAAGAAGTCACAAGAATGAGCTCAGATAACCATTAGAAAAAGCCTTGCTGCTGTGCTTGCTCTCCCCAGACTCGTGGCATTTCCACAGACAAGCTATTCCATCAGCTGCAACAGAAAAGAGCCTGCTCTGATCTGGGCTCAGGGCTATATCTAGGACTCTCCCCTTGTGACCTGTAAAATAAAGTGCATACAAAAAAAAAGGAAAGATACATCACCATTCTACATTGATTATGTCAGTCACTTTCACCAGCCCCACTCACAGTATGTTTTTTCCACCTTTACTGTAGCAGTTCAAAATGCTACATAGGATTTGGGGAGCTAGCATTATCTACAGAATATTTTCACACTAAGAAAGGGCCGATATTGTCTTATGGGGGACCAGGCTTTAACTGTCAGGACTGCACCACATTGAGAAGACATTTCTGTCAAAGGAAAACACTGAACTCGAACTCTTGATTCTCCACTGCATTTACAACATCAGTTCCATCTGTGTTTGGTAATGTGTCTCACTGCTGAACTTTCTTATCTGGCTGCACAAGCCTTGCAGACAGTTTGCAGCTGAACTAACAATCATGAGACAGTGTCTCCAGCTGCTCAGTTATTACTGTTAAGAAGATCTTTTAACAGTGATCCCACCAAATAATTTATTGGAATTGCATATTGAGTTTGTCTGTAGCTGTACTAAATTCTGGGAGCCAGACGCTGAAAGGCAGAAACTACTCCAGTCTAGCAGCACAAAGAACATACATAACTCATTAATCTGGTTATACAAGTATCTCCCTCAGTAGAAACATCAGAATTTGAACATGCAGAAGGAGTTTGGTATTAAACTGAGACTGCTGAGACCTTTATTTACCTCCGTTCTCCTGTATCATCTAGCACAATGTCAATGCTAAGCAAAACATGAGGTTTTTAGGCATACAGGGGCATGAGAAATTTGAAGCCTTTTCACTCTAAGTTACCAGCCATTAGCTTCTCTGGTTGGGTGAGTTACTGACAATCATATAGCTGAGCTAGTCACCCAAGGGGAAAAAAAGAAAAGACATAGTGTATCTCATCTAAAACTGATGAAATGAACTAGATGCTGAAAGGAAGTGTGGAGGTATAAAGACTTGGGCGACCGACTTGAATGAATGTAGGTGACATATGTCCTCCCATCATCTATACCTGAGTTCTCCATGAACACAGTGGGGATAGAACTTCTCTAGCTCAAAATAATATTATTATGAGTAATAACATGTGAGGAACTGTAAAGCCCTCTGAAACTGTGGTGGTTATCACAATGGGACCTGATGAAGATCCATAGGACTGTTGTAAATAGTCTGCCCTAACTTTGCAAAGCTGCTACAATAGCTCTCTGGAGACACTGTGACTAAAAGCAAATATCTGCTGTTGTAGTGCTGAGTACTGTGTGACCCACTTAAACCTGGTGACTAGAATTTTGACAACAACACTAAATTATTTCAGCAGAGCTTAATTTTCAGGCTTCGCTCCTTCTCAAGTTACCAAAGTGTATGTGATCTTCATCAATATTTAAGACCATGAGTTTACAACTCAGCAAATTTTTTACACTGTCTCCATTCAGTGTCTGTAACAACTTTGAAAGAAGAGCTGGAGATGTAGTCTTTGGAGGCATCCAAAACTACGCACACCATTGACTGAAATCTCATTAATATTTTCAGTCAAAAAGATGTGAAGGGGCATGGTGAGAAATCAGAAAAGTTGAAATTATTAATTTCCATGTTTTCTGAGTGGAGAGGTCTCAATTTTATTTCATTGCTTCAAGATCTCATAGATATACTTTTCAAAGCAATTACATATTTTGTTTGCTTGTATGTTTTCTTTGATCCTCTACAACTTTCCTAAGGGGAGGGCATTTACATTCAAAATTAATCTTTTTGTAGTAGATTAATAGTTCTACTGGTAGTATCTCAAAAATTGACTCAGTGCTACAAAAAGGTTACTACCTTTCAGCTGTTATTCTCCTCTCAATATGCCCAGTAATAGTCAATTTCAATTAGTAAAGTGCTCAACAGTAGCTGATGGTGCTTCATTGTCAGATGAGGTCTTCAGCATTTTGCAGGAGGATTAAACAATAACATTCAGACATTTATCTCTTAATTTCTCTGGGTGTAAAACTGATAAGGTTAAGGGTGCCTGAGGCCGATTTAGAATCACTCATCACAGTATTTTTTCTGAACATATTTTGATACACTCATAATTTCTTCCAAAATTAAATTGCTTATAGTAAGGTTGTAAGAGTCTTTATAAGTGGGAATAAATTTATGTAACAACTACCTGGTATTTTTGTTAATTAAAATCAGTTCCTCTTGCAGGTAAGTAAACCAAATAGGAAACAGGATGAGAAGTAACCCTCTAGCTTCCCCAAATTACCAATGCATTTGACTTACATGGTAAATGTTTTACACCATACACTAGTCTCAAAGGTAAGAGTAAATCTATGTTTCATTTCAAACAGTATATTCAAGACTTACTTACAAAGATTTGAGAAACCTCAAGCTACACTAGTTAAAACTAATGATCATGTCACTTTCCAGATCATTTCTCAGAACATCACAGGACATGATGCTAAGAGTTGTATGTAAAGAGTAGCAATAAGGAAGGAAAAGCAGCACAGACAAGCAGCCTTACACAAGGAGCATTGTATAATCAGATCCACATATGTCTCTGCTGCCTGGTCTTTTCCATCCGTCTGTTTTGACTCTCTTGTGCTTTCCTTTTACAGGCTAGTGTAGAAGACAAGTCTCTGGTTCCAAGGACAGCATCCCAGTATAGCTGGGATTTAATAAATCAGGAATTTAATAAATACCTTCAAATGTAGGAATAGAGTACATAAAGTATTTGTAAATATCAGCTGTTCGATTAAAAATCCAAAGTTTCTTTGGCCGTATCTTGTCAGTAAGTGTGAAAAAAAAAAAAATCATAGCTGTGAAAATGTGTTTTGTAATGTAATTTGTAATTTGTTTTTTCTTTTAACTTCAGATCCTTCTATTGGATCACTTCAGTTAACACTGAAATAAGTAAAACTCAGTGGATAGGAGTGACAGCAAGCACCAGAAACAAGACGACTTAACAGCAAGGAACAACTCTTATGTGTAATACAGTCTTACAGCTCCATGGACCAACACAGAGCCACAAGAAAACTCCACTTCCTCTAGCTGCCACCATGGTACAAGAGAAATGCAGTGTATTGCTCCACTGCCTTGCTTCACAGACAAAATCATCCATTAAAACCCAGACAGCTCTAAATAGCACATGGAGATTTATTTTAAAATTAATTAGGAAGTTGGATCAGTATCCTTCCACGATGAGCTATAAAACTGAAGAGCCACATCTAGTTTGAGTGATCTAGAAGGCCATCAGCCTACAATATACTGGAAGCAACCTGACACTAGCACACTCAGTCCACACCTAGTAAGCTGTAGGGAGAAGTGGAAATACATATCCTGCACCTGGGATGGCCTTAGAAATTATGGGAAAGAATCCCATCATTAAAACCAAGGAATTTTACAAAAGCAGCTCATGCTATTATCTTAATAAGTCAACCTTTATCATTCCATGCATCAGGACGGTGCCCATGAATGCATGTGTGTAGGCAGAAGGGGGCTGTGTAGGTGACTGCCTTTTTAACTCTGTTTTACAGAAATGCACAAGGTATGCACTTCCAAAAACACATTGATTAGACAAACAGTTAACTGAAATAGTTCAAACCATTAACTGAAATACTTGCCATAGAGTTCTGATGAATTGATAAGCGTGGGATACTTCCATATTTTCATCTGATTTCCAGGAAGGCCTTGTCCAGTCATCACTTTGCTGGTTTTGGGTAACCAGAGCAAGGAACAAATCTATTGCAATTTAAAATTCTTTAGAAAGAGTCAACAGGCACCATTCAGTAGATTTGAACTGTTACCTATAATATTTAAACAAGCTACTGAGAAACAGTCTCAGCAGAATATTTACTTATTTAGAAGGATCACTTCATTCCTTACAATGCTTCAAAGTACAGTTGCCTTATCCTATCTAAATGTGGTAACAGCCCATCAATATAAAACCAAAGCTTTTCAAATACATCCTCAGCTAAGCTGAGGAAAAGCTCCAGGAAAATCAATAGCTATGCTGCTTTACTCCAGCTGAGAATCTGTTGCTCTGTCTCCTAATATTCAAACTCCAGAACTCCAGAGATAGATGTCTGCCCTCTGACTCTTACTCCTCTTCTCACTCCAGCACTCTGGGAATTTTCCCTCCCTTCAACATTCTCTCCACATCAAGAGTTTTGGCCAAAACTATTATTGCCAATAAGGAAAAGATGATAAGAAGTGTCTGGCTGTGAGACCACCTCCTCTTCAATCACTTCTGTGTGGAGACAGAAGTAGTGAAAGAGAAACAACAAACTGTTTCTGAGTCCAGTCACACACTGCAGAGCTGAATGTAGCGCAATTGCATTTCCAGAGAAAATCCTGCTGTTCCTCTGACCATGGAACCACCCTCAAAGTCAGTGGGAGTTTGCCAAATGAGCACAGCTATACAGGAAGAACATAGCCTAACTATGCAGACATTTCATCATTTCACCTGAGAATCTGTAGCTGCACTTTGGATGATTGTCTCACGATTTATGTCCCAGACACGCAAAATCCCATCTTTCATTCCACCTCCTGTAGCAAGGACTTTGGACTGCCAAGGACACCAGTTCATAGCCTAAAAAAAAAAAAAAAAAAAAGAACAAAAAACAAACCACAAAACTAGGAAGTTAGCTGAAAAAACAAAGTAGATTTTGCTTAAAAGCTTAGTTGGAAAAATGAACTACAACAAGCACCCAGAATGTATTTTTGGCTTTTTTTCACCCTACACCATGCTCTTCCCCCATATACACACAGCAACATAGAATCCCAAAACTCCAAATGCTGCTTCCTTTCCCACTGCTTCACAGTAGCCTACACTGTCCCACATATGCTCATAAAACTACAGTTTCTCTGCTTACTCTTCACAGGCCACAGATCCACTGGTACCTCAGTGCCATAAGAATCCAGCAGGACAGACTCCTACTGCCTAAGCCAAGCCATCACAGAAGCCTAGGCAATGTGACTTACAGGGCTTACAAGAGACCTGGTTTCTTCTGAGATATTTCTGGGATATGTCTGAGGCCTAGACTCTACCTAATGAAAAGCTGTAAGAACTGAATTACACCTATTTCAATAACCTCCTCTGACTCTTTTAACACCAGCACTTCAGGCCAGCCTCAGATTTTTCTGGAAAGATAAACAGCTTATAAAAGCTGGACTCCCCTGCCTTTTATTGTTGAGGCCACACAGACTCTTCCACTCCCCTGTCTCTTCCACACAGACTGGGACTTCGTAAAGATGAAGAATCTAAGTTGCCTCATTTTCAATTTGTTACTTTGGATTCTGTGCTACCAACAATGACAGGAAAATATGGGCAGGAAGGCAAAACAAACCTCGTATTCTACATGATTCTATTCTATTCATGTATGTCCTGCACCTCATATTTAAACCTCATATTTAAAATAATTTCAGAGGAGAGATTTTTCCAAAACTTCAAAAATTGAAAGATCTTGTTTGTTAACTTTTAAGTATTGCACCACCAAAGTTTCCTGTGCAAAACAGAGGAGAAGGTTGTAAATTTTATTTCTGTTTGGTACTCTATCTACAAAGGCCTACTAATCCAGTAAAATTTCCTGACCAAAGCCCTAGCAAACTTATCTGTGACTCAGCAAAAGGAGAACTGGTCTTAAAATTGACTGCATCACAGTCAGGGGAGAAGAAATTCAGAAATCAGCAAGATCATTTGAAAAATTCCCTAACTGTCCACATCAACATCATGTGATTTCATGAGAATATAGAAAAGCACCATTCCTTCTCCATATACCTTAACTGCTGAGGGATGAGGTATGGTTGTCAGTGGCTGTGACTGCAGTTTCACACCAGGGTCACTAGGCCAGATATTCAGTATACCATCACTAGACCCACTTGCCAGCAACTGGTTGGCTAGTGACCATTTCAGGCTGCAAATGCTCTGTTTGTTTTGGCAAAGGGTCCCAACATGGTGCTGGGCAACCCGAACATCGTGGTGATGAATAGATCCTAGTCGCGAACCACTGCAGATGAAAAAAGACAGTGTGGGTTTAACGTTAAAGAAGACAAACTACATCATAACACTGATGTTTCTTCAGTGGTTTTAGAAGCAAACCACATCAGAGTGAAATGTGTCTGCAGAAGAACAGTACTTCAGTAAAAGGAAACACAAACCAACTATCAAAAGCACACTCTGACTGTAGAGGTAGCTGACAATAGAAAGGAGCCAAGCAGCAGCTCAGTTCAAGCCAAGCAGAATACCTGCTTTCCTTCATGGTTTCCATTTCCCTGAAGATACACCACATTGCATGCTACTAAGAACAGTGTGGCCAGCAGGAGCAGGGAAGTGATCCTTCCCCTGTACTCTGCGTTAGTGAGGCCACACCTTGAGTACTGTGTTCAGCTCTGGGCCTCTCAGTTCGGGAAGGACATTGAGGTGCTGGAGCGGGTCCAGAGAAGAGCAACGAGGCTGGTGAAGGGACTTGAGCACAAGTCCTATGAGGAGAGGCTGAGGGAGCTGGGGTTGTTTAGTCTGGAGAAGAGAAGGCTTAGAGGTGACCTCATCACTCTCTTCAGCTACCTGAAGGGAGGTTATAGCCAGGTGGGGGTTGGTCTCTTCTCCCAGGCAACCAACAATAGGACAAGGGGGCATGGGCTCAAGCTCCGCCAGGGGAGGTTTAGGTTAGATGTTAGGAAGAAATTCTTTACAGAAAGGGTAATCAGGCACTGGAACGGCCTGCCCAGAGAGGTGGTGGATTCACCATCCCTGGAGGTTTTTAAAAAGAGACTGGACGTGGCCCTTAGTGCCATGATATAGTAATTGGAGTTGGATCAGGGGTTGGACTTGATGATCTTGGAGGTCTTTTCCAACCCAATCTATTCTATGATTCTATGATTCTATGATAATCTGCACCCTGTTCAACTGTGAAACCATCTATCATAAACTCTTTCTAAATAAAAAAATAGTTTTGCAAGATTATTTTTGCCAAGGCCAGACACGACTCCATTCCCAACAAAGAGGCAGGGTGAAAGTGCATTGCTCTGGGAAAGGTCTTACTAGTAAGTGACAGTGCATTCTTTGCTTCTTTCCCTCCCCTTGTCCCTTTCTCCCTCCCACCTCCAGGCTTAACAAAAATCTGCACAGCTTGACAATGTTGCGCTGACTGCCTATTAGGAAATGGATAGGTGGTTCTACAGGCAGTATTACCAGTCTACCAAAGGAAGTAAGAAATACCCTGCCTGGAAGCACAGCTACTGTTACAGCTTAACTCTCAGATATGAGTTTTGCACATCGATAGCAGAGTTGAACTGAAAATATTGAAAATACCTTGCAGCTCATTTTCTTTTCCTGCCTTTCTAAGTATATTCCTTACATTACACCTAAGACTAAACAGAATAGCTTCCTGCTGGAAATTCACACTTTCAACTATTCTGATGACACTGAAAAGTTCAATACCATCTTTCTAGGTACCTGAGAAACAGATGTCTGACATGACTGCAGTAAGTTAAGTTAAGGCAATAATGACTGGCAACTTTTCCATACTGGTTCTTAAAGATTTTTCAGATGCAAGTTGAGTGATTCGTCCACAGTGAAATTTGCTGTAAGAATGCTACTCTTATTTTAGTAACTATTAGTATCAACTCCATGTCAATTTTTCTACTTATACTGATATTTTATCTCTGCCCTAATGTTAGAATGAACTGGTTAGTTTCAAACCCTAGCAAAAGAAATAAAAGTTATCTCAAGCTAATCTGTCAACCATAACTGTAGCTCACAGCTTCATGCTGAATTTCATCATTAATTTCTACTCAGAGAGATCTGTAATTTAACTTTCTGATGTTTTCTCTCCTTTGGGCAAGCTGAAATGCAAATTGAAACCGAAACCAATGCTCCTTGTAATATTGTTGGCATTGGCAGGATGTTCTAGCTGGTATCCTTAGATCTCACTCCACCCAGTAGACCAAATACAATCAAAAGCCAGAGCATCTTATGAAATAAAAATAGAACTACCTCTAGTGTTCCTATCCAAAGATACTAGTTTCATTTTCAGTTTAACAATAGTCAGTTTGCCCTTGCTATTATCTCTGCATATAAGTAAAACAGAAGACTACCACATGATTTTAAAATTGTAGAAGCATCCATCATAAACAAATCTCCCTCCAATCCCTTCAAGTCTTATTCAAAGACCTGAAACAGAAAGTAGGAGGAAAAAAAATACAAAAGGCTACACTTAATTTTTTGCATCTGAGCCCCCAGATTGAAATGATTCCTACATATAAAATATTCTCCAGTTGGTGTAAAATTCACCTTTGACAAAGCAAAGTTCAACCACTTCAATCCCCCTTGAGTTGTGCATAACAATGAGCTGGCCTTCCCTTGTAGACATACAGCTAGAGGGGTGTGCAACTCATAACAGCTGTGTTTCGCTGTGCCTCTGAAAATACAGATGCAGTATTGATGCCAAGTATCTTGGGGACAGACCTTTTAGTAGGGCTCGTAGTGACAGGACAAGGCCTAATGGTTTTAAACTAAAAGAGGGGAGATTCAGATTACGTGTAAGGAATAATTTTTTTTACTCTGAGGGTGGTGAAACCCCAACCCTGGAAACATTCAAGGTCAGGCTGGATGGGGCTCTGAGCAACCTGACCTAGTTGAAGATGTCCCTGCTCACTGCAGGGGGTTGGAACCAGATGATCATTCAGGTCCCTTCCAACCCAAACCATTCTATGATTCTATGTTCAATGGAGGGGCAGTTTAAACTATGTGCCCTCTCTCCAGCACCAGGTAGGCTATGATTTTTGGAGTTCAGACCCACTGGATACAACATCTATTCAAGCTCAGGCTTCGCACAAAACCAGAAAGTAAATCTCTGCAAGTAGTGGCAGCTTTCTGGAAGGAGAGTAAGAAACAGACTAAAGAGGCAATCTAAATCCTCTTGGGCTGATTTTCTGCCATACAGTAAATCTACATGTGATTTCTGAGATGGCTGATAAGTAGATGGACAGTATAAATCACCTTTGAGCAAAGCCAATGAAAACAGCTAAAACAAATGGAACATTTATCGAAGTAAAAGCAGCAGGAGTCCTTCTGGGAATATACTATACCACTCACCTGCTCAGAATATAATGATTCCAGCTCAGAGCTCCAACTACAGACAAGTGACCAAACATATTTCTCAACCTCTTTTTGGTTTCAATGTCCCACAGCTGCCAATCCAAAACAAACAAGAAATACAAATTTAACAACAACAGGGTTTTTTTCTCTTTGTTTGCAAGTAAGCCACTGCCCAGTTCTGATTTGACATATGGACAACCTCAAGCTCATTTATTTCACAAGTAAGACAAGTATTTCCAAATTTGGCACCTATATCAGTGACACTGAAGTCAGACAGGATTGAAGGGAACGCACGTCTCTGGGTTTAAAGCTGTTTATTTACATGTCAGTATTTGGAAGTCCATACTAGAAAGTACTGGCCTTCAGTACCTTCAGATTGCTGACTCAGGACTGCATCAGGTAGGTTCCCATATTATCTAGTATCTCAGTCAAAGTCCCACAAAAATCTTTTGATAACAGGACTGCCCTAAGACAGGAGACTGAGAGGTATGCTTATGGTCAGACTGAAGTTAAATTCTCATGTGTGAATCCATAAGGAGAGTTTTGGCTTGAGTTCTCAAGGCATTGATCACTAGAGTGATCTCAGCAAGAGAGAGATGAGAAAAAATACCCTGTGCTGAGTAAAATAATTTAATGAAAGAATTCTTCTTACTGGTGGAAAAAAAATCTGATTATCTCTGGACAACTGAAGCATTAATTCAGTTATCAGCTTTTTAGGGGCTTCAGAGGCTCCAGTACCTATAGATAACACTGGATGTCACTAAGCCATTCAATAAGGTGCAGCGCACTACAGGGAGGTGCTATATACTGCCTCCACCAGAGTTCTTCTGTAGTTTACCCAATCTTTTTCATTTGCTTCCTTAAAAAAAAAAAAAATCAGTATCAAATTGTCCTGTGGCCATTTTAGCTAAAGACAGAGAAAGATTTAAAAAGTAAATTATCTAGTACTTGCACTTCTCCATCACTGGTGCCAATTGCAAGGCAAGTTCCTCCTTTTATCCAGGCCAGAGATGAAATGTATTTGGAACTGGAATTCAAATCAATGCTTTCAATGGTTTGAAGAGTTCTTCCATTCCAGATGTGTGCAGCAGGTCCTACAGCAACAGCAATTACATTTTCAAGGCTCCAGTCCAGTATGTTCAGATCTAGAAGAAAGCTACTAAAAATTACTGCAAAAAAGTTGCAGGTAATTGGATGGGATTAGGGACAGTATGGTTTGGGTGAGAAAGGCTTTTTTTTTTAATAGCTATGGAAAAACTTCAAGAGAATGGTTTCATGAAATCACTACTAGCAAGTTTTCCTTGTACATGAAGCAGAGTATCTCTAACAAGCCAAGGTCTTCAAAAGACAAATATCCACAAACTGGTACATTTGCACAGCAGGATCTGACTGACAGCTTCGCCACTAGAATTTTTTAATCTATCACCCTACATCTTGGATGACCACATCACTCACTCTAATTTTTGCCACCAGAAAAGAGGCTCCTCCACCAAGACCCACAGTTCAAAAAAAACCCCTCCTTACAAGGAAATTCCTGTTATTGAGACAGACATAGGAGAAAGTCTATATGCTACAGTCTGTTCTACAACCTCGAGTTAATAATAACATTTACCTTTGTGTTGGGTTTGGGGGGGCGGAGGAGGTGGTTTTTTGGTAGTGGGGGAAGGGCCACCTTATGAGAGCAAAAAGCTCCCCTGGTTCCAAGAGTGGACTCCCCCCCGACACCACCCCCAGCCCAGGCTGGGACAATGAGCACTAGAGAAACGCCTCTGCCAATCCATATTTGTGAGGGGAAGGACTGTCCTGAAAAGAAGTAGGTGGGGGTGAACCTGGAGGAGAGGCCACTGACCTAACAAAAGACAACCATCAGCCCAAACAAAGGACAGACAGACACAGAGAGAACTTCATTGGCAGAGGAAAAGAGAGAGACCCACACACAGTTCTTCCACATGGAGTGGAAGACAAAGGCCCCTGCAGCCCACGGAGGTTCAATGGCAGATCAGAGACCAACGTGTAGGCCATGGAGGACTCCAGGCTGGAGCAGAGAAGCTGAGCCTGAGGGCAAGTGTGAGTCTGCAGCCCGCGGATGCCCAATGCTGCAGCCAGGAGCTGAGCCCAAAGAGGTCCATGACTCCATGGGAAGCTCACGCTGGAACATCTTGTTCCTGGACTTTCACGCCGGGAAGAACGGCAGAGGTGAACTGACTGAAACCCCATTCCCTGTCCCCTGTGCCGCTGGCAGGGGGGAAGGTAGAGAAACTGGGAGCAAAGCGATTTGAAGTGAGAAAGAAGGGAGGGGTGGGGGAAGGTGTTGTAAGATGTGATTGTTTTATCTACTCATATGATTTGCAATGAATTAAATTGATTTTTCTTCCCCAAGTTGAGCCTGTTTTGCCCACGACCATAACTGGTGAGTGAGCCGTCCCCGTCCTTCATTCCTAATCCCTGCCCCCTTTGTTGTGACTCCCATCCCATCTCACCAGGTGGGGGGAGTGAGTGCAGAACCTCATGGTCCCACTGTGAGTCAAACCACCACAACCTTGCACAAGATAGGGAAACGAAATACAGAAAGGAATTAGGGAAATTCTGCTCCTCACCTTCAGAGCTTCCTCAGCAAGTGTATGATAGAAATACTGTTGCCACTGCCCATGATGTTGGGCACCTTGCACTTACAGATCCTGGCAAAGCAAGTCACTACAGCAATCAACACCAAACAGCCTGACATGTCACGTAGGCCAGAAGAAGTTGGTATACTACATTTAATACCAACCCAGGACATTTTCCCATGTCAAGGGAAATCCTCAGCTGAACATTTAGGGCAGCTTAAAAGTCATTTTGCATGACCCCTGAAGCACAGAAGATTGTTACAGCAGGCCAAGGTCTGACATCCTATCTTGGCAACTAAAAACACTCTGAAAAACAGTTGAATCCATCAGTCAGTCATTTACAGTCCTGGTTGTTGCAGTCAGAAATCACTTCCAAAACTAATGTTGTTAGTCTTGGGACATACCTTGTGCACAATCAGTGTAAAGCATACAAACATACCTTTGTGCTGTGCATAGATATACATGAATACTTGCACAGATACGTTGAAAAAATCTCCAGAGGGATAATTATGAACACTTGCACATACATACTCATAGATCTTTCGAAGTGTTAAAACATGTATTTGCTGCTGTAGACCAGAGATCCATGTGTGTTCATGTGTAACTTGCACATGTTTAATTTTTTGCCTGTGCACCACCAAAGACAGTTTAGGTATCTATCATCCAGACTATATAGACAATGTCACTGATGTCTCCCAAAACAAGAGATTTCAAAGTCTGCTCAACAGAGTTGCTGCTGTGTTGGTTGGCTGCTAGATATCCAAGGCTGAAACATTTAACTTATTCAAGCAGAAGTAAGTATATTGGTTTGATTTGGAAGTTGTATTGAGATCTACAGCTGAAGGAAACTGCATGAGAGTTAGACAGTATTGATTTTAGTGTTTGATCAGTCATGTCTCCATCCTGGCACAGACAGTATTCAAAAATGCATCCCTATAAGAGAAATAACATCATGCATATGTCCTCCAGAGTTTCCATTTTATGTAAAGGGGGCACACTTCACCATCTTCCTTGAAACAAGCATAAGAATTCCCAGTCTCTGCAAAAACCACCACACAGCAGAAAATAACTTACAGTAATCGTTACGCAAGCCAGTAATATGAAGCCTCACTTCTGGCTCCAGTGGCATGGAAGGCTTCATCGTGGTAACAGCTCTAAACTCATTCTGGGTCTCCTCTCGGCATCCTGTATTTGAACATTCATCACATAGAAATCAGTAATACAAAACACCACCACTTTTTCTCAGGTCTCAGCCTTTCATATTCTTACTGTATTTGTCTCTCCATGGTCCAGAGGAGGCAAGAAGGGTCTAATTTATCCTGGGTACGCTCAAAACACTAGACACACTACACTAGGTGAAAGCCACCTTTTACCACCTCTTTCCAACTTCCATGGGTTTAGTCAGCTAGAACAGAGAACGGGGTCCACTGTATTTTGTTTAAATTGCACCACAGCTCAATACAGAACGTGGGGGGTTTTGTCTTTTTCTCGTTAGTTTTCTGTCAAAAGCTGTTAGTAGCAGAATGTTTCATATATCCTCTCCTACTTCAAAAGCCCCCCATGCCCCAATTAACTTTTTTGCTTTCTGGTGTTAATTTCCCACCAAAAGGTCTCCTCCCTCAACACCTAACCACAGGAAAAGGTTTTTAAAGCACACGCACTCTGACCACAGCACACTAAGCTTGTAACAACACATAAGCGAGAAACAAAAGCAAATACAGGTATGAGCAAGCAGAAGAGTCATCCTTTGTGGTCACTGTCTACATTATGCTGCAAGGACTCCTAAACATCATAGAAAAAAAAAGCCAGACCATTACCACTATGAATCATTTAATGCTAGATTTTTACGTGTAACAAATTATCTTGCTCTAATGGGCAGAGCAAAAAATTGGAGATTCATATTTCTATGCTTTTCTCTCCCTTCTTGAATTATTCTCTAGAGAGGAGTATTTAGAATGAATATCAAAAGTTTCAGGGGCAGAAGACAGTATTTATCTCTACAACTAACCTTCTCTGTTCAAAAAAATCCAACACTGACAAAGTTTTTGTACTCAGTAACTTAAAATACACACATCCTATAAGGAAGTCCAATGACAAATTGTGGAGAACTTATTTTACAGTCCTTCTCTACTCTGTGCTGAATCTTCTTCCCAAATCCAAAATTCTTTTTTGCCAGGCAACAAATGTTTCCCCTCTCAGCTGTGGTACCCTCTCTCCCTTCAAATAAAGACTGAAGATGATCAAGAAGTAGGCTACAGTGATTTTCTTCTATATCTAAAATTTAGTGGAGTTAAACAATCAAGCAGGCTTCCAGGAACAACCTTCTCAGACTTGCCCAATGTGATAGTAACACTGCATTTTGTCCCTAAAAAGGTCTACTGTCACCGAAATGAGATTTCTCTCTAGAGAAAAATCCATATTTATAATATCTAGATTTTTGGTTATTTTTTGAAAACTTTACCAAATTTTCCTGAACACAGTCAAGTAAGATAATAGGCACTTAACTGTAACAGTTGGATGAATGGCAATACTTCCAAAACACTTTGAAAATGTTTTTCTTCTTTAACATTGGTAGTTGGTATTGAACAGTAAGATGTAAAGGATGAAGTCACCTCTGTAACTCATTTCAGGTTTCTCTTCTTTCATGAGTAATTCATGTATCTCAAATACATATTGATCACGCTTTCAGCTCTATTCACCTACTTCGCAGACAAACAAACGTGCAGAACAGGCTTTTTAATTAGTGGAAATTAAGCTTCATTACACCATTTTGTGTTATTTTGCCTGGGTACTAGCAGATATCACTGACTTTTGATAGGATTTCAGCTCTCTCATGCCTGTGTCACTTCCCAAAATGAGATTCAGGATGTGGTAAGCAGCCAGTATTGTCACACCAAACCACTTGATCAACAAGCAGGTGATAAAAACCAGTATCTCTGATACCTGTATTCATTTGCTGTCAAGAGGAGAAACGCTGTGACTAATCCCTACACTGTTGCTACTAACTGCTCCGAAATGAGTCTTATTTGCACGAAGAACAACAAAGGAATACATAAATCTATCACGTAGCCCAAACTTCTACAGGAGCTGAAGTCCAGATTCATAATGAAGTTGTTTCTTGCTGTCTTTACATAAGCATGAATCAGGCCCTGACTGGCAAGAACCCATCATACACAGAAACAGCAAGATCACCAAAACAAATCATCTGTCCAAGACAGAACACAACAAAATATTTATTATTTAATTAATGGCGTCATAGTCAAATAAGTCTGGGAATACCTGTATTATTTCACAGGTTAGCTCCTCACAACCCACCTGTTTTCCAGCCACCTGATCATTCACACTCCCTTATGCCCATCCATTCCTAGGATATCTTTCAGAGCAAATCAACCAGCTACCCCACAGATTAAACCAGAGGCAGTGCTAGGGACAGTATACTCCAGCTACCTTTCCCTACAGGTAGGAGGAAGAAGACCCCACCATCTCTGCATGTCTTGCACTCTCATGTATCTAACAGTCCATTTAATACATACCCCATGCCCATTCTGCAGCACAACCCTACATTATTTGTAGGGTTCTGAAACTGAAAAGTCATAGAGAAATTAATGTTTTAGGGCCACTAGTGCATCAGATGGGACCCAAAGGAGTACTAGATTAAACACTAGCAGTTAACTACACTGGAAGAGGTGGAATACTGTCTCTTCACACGTGGTGGGAACTCTAGAAATAGCCCCAAGCAGCGTAGATCTCGGTCACTTTGTACTATTCTGTAACACTTGCTAGAAGAGGTAGGTGCCCTTGCTCCTCCAGTGTAGATGCAGCCTGCTGTATCTTACTGTTCGGTGTGCATGAGAATATTTGCTATATTGGAACATACCTTTCCCGATGCAATTGCTGTTTTCACAGACCTTCACATCACCACTTTCTGCAGTGCTATGTCCAGCCTCCTGGACCATTGCAAGCTGAGGACATTTCTGTCAACACATTGAAGTCAAAACATGACTGAATTAAGAACTCTGTCAAAAAATGTATCTAGCATCATAGATAACACAACTGCCATCAATGGCCTCAACAGTTGTCACATAAAAGCTTCAAAACAGCTTGTCTCTTGGACAGGAGTTCAGGAAAAAATACAGAATACCAGAGCCAAATCATGTGCTCCAACTTGAGCCACCATCTTTCCTTCCATAAAACACCAATTCACTGCTAATGATCACACAAACTTTAACAAAGTTGTTTGAACAAGGCCATGTTATCAGGAGAAGAGGTACCAGTCCTGTAGTACATCTGCAGGTACTACCACAGGTCACCTGACCAACCTGAGCGTTCTCTTCTGAATTAGCTTTTAGGCTACTTTTACCAGCATACAACGCCATGTTTTCTGCATGCAGACCCTAAGTCTGATGCCTCAAGCTTGGCCTATGAAGGAAGATGAGTTTTGTGGTGCATACACTGCAGGGGCACTGATTCCAGCACAAGCCCTACTGGATGTCAGTGTCCTCTCTCAAACCAGAGTCCCAGAGCCTGGATTCTTACAATGCCATTCCTTAAACTGGTATTACAATATGAAACTGAAAATATATACAAGGTATCTCAGAGGAATAAGATTTTTTAAAACTACATTATCATTTCCTTGGGTGTCAAACAAACATGATAAGAAAAGGGAGATCTGAATTGTTATTTGAACTTTTTCTTTTCTTTTCTTTTTTTTAAATCAGCTTAATCCCTTAGCCAAGGCTTCAGGCAAAGGCTCAAATCAGTTCACAAAGGATATGAATCTCTTCACCAATTCCTAGTAATAGGCATTTCTTCACAATGTTCACTGAGTTGAATGCTCTGATGCCAGTTATCTGTCTGTAAACCTTTATTCACAGGCAGATGGAAATGCAGCTGACATTTTTACCAGCCACTCAAGGCTAGTATGTTCTTCCTCCAATGTCTGTGAAATCTATCCTTCCAACCACCCTCAGTCTTACTCCTCTTGAAAACCCTGCTGCACTCATAAGAAATGTTTTACAAAAACATAGCTAGGAAAAATTGTCCCTCCTTTATATACCCCAGCCGTTCCACAGCAGGCCTTCAGCTTTGAGAGGCACTTTCTGTATGATTTATCTAGACAACTTGGCAGGAAGCTAATCAGATTGCTTGGATTTGTGCCCTTCTAAAATAAGTGTGGACATTTCTGTGGAAAACCGATTGTGTATACAAGGAAGTAATCTCTTGGCCCACAAAGAGACCACACACATTCACTGGAATGTGAGAAGATATTCTTTTCAATGCATCCCATTCCTTTATGCTACCAGGTAGCATAAATTAAATAGTCATTAATTACTGTATCTAAGAAGATTAACAGGTTTTTTGTATGGTTTTAGCCAGGACTGACGTCCAAATGATTTTAGGAAGAATTTGGGGTTTGGTCATCTCATAATGTTATCTCAAAGACCCCTACATCACAGTTTTAGGAAATTAGCAGTCCTTGATGAAGAACTCTGAATATCTTAGTTCTAACTTAACTGCTGCTTGCAAATTGCAGTGTAATTCTAGGTAAGTCACTTCACTGTAGAGATGAACGATGGAGAAACAGAAGACTGACACACGGTCCCTATTGGGACCAGTACTGTTTAATAGCTTCATCAACGACATGGACAGTGGGACTGAGTACTCCCTCAGCAAACTGCTGGTAACAGCAAGCTGCATGCTGCAGCTGACATGTCTGAGGGACAGAAGGCCACTCAGTGGGACCTGGACGAGCTCAAGAAGTGGACCCGTGTGAACCTCAGGAGGTTCAATAAAGCCAAGTGCAAGGTCCTGTACCTGAGTTGAGGCTACTCCCAGTATCAATACAGGCTGGGGGGATTGAGAGCAGCCCTGCAGAGAAGGACTTGGGGGTACTGGTGGATGAAAGGCTGGACATGAGCCGGCAATGTGCGCTCGCAGCCCAGAAGGCCAACAACCGTATCCTGGGCTGCATCAAGAGAAGCGTGTCCAGCAGGTCAAGGGAGGTGATTCCACCCTTCTACTCTGCTCTGGTGAGACCCCACCTGGAGTGCTGTGTCCAGTTCTGGAGTCCTCAGCGCAAGAAAGACATGGACAGAGAAGGGCCACAAAAATGAACAGAGGGCTGGAACACCTCTCCTATGAGGACAGGCTGAGAGAGTTGGGGCTGTTCAGCCTGAAGAAGAGAAGGCTCCAGGGAGACCTTACTGCAGCCTTTCAGTACCTACAGGGGACCTATATGAAAGATGGGGACAAACTTTTTAGCAGGGCCTGTAGTGATAGCACAAGGGGTAATGGTTTTAAACTAAAAGAGGGGAGATTTAGACTAGATAAAAGGAAGACTTTTTTTTACAATGAGGGTGGTGAAACACTGGAACAGGTTGCCCAGAGAAGTTATAGATGCCCCATCCCTGGAAAGATGGGGCTCTGAGCAACCTGATCTAGTTGAAGATGTCTCTGCTCATTGCAGGGGGGCTGGACTAGATGAACTTTAAAGGTCTCTTCCAACCCAAGCCATTCTGTCACTCTGTGACCAAGAGTGAAGACAATGACATGCACTTATCTTTTAAAAGATTTTACATTTTAAGGAAGAATGTTTTATACACATTACTTCATAGAAAGTTCTTATTATCTCACAAAAAAAATTATTACATTTCTCTGTGGGGTAGATTCAACTAAGATTACTAAACACACTGAGTTGTGTATTTTAACAATTCTAAAATTCACAGACTCTCCGCAATCAGACCATGGAGGGGCGTGGGAAGGAAGAGAACACTGTTGTTGAAAGGAGGATTTTCCAGACTATTCTGCTTATTTAGAATGGCAAGTGATTGCCCTGAGGACCAGAATGATATAAAGCATGGTTTTTTCCCAACATCCAATGACCTTCAAGAGTACAATTATTACAAGATATCAGTCAACAAGCCAGTTAGCCCACTTGTCCTGACACTACCTCCTTTTCTTAGAAGTTGAGCTTGATACCCTCACAGAAACTTCTCAATAACAGTAAGTAAATATTATAAACCACTATAAGCAAGGACACTGAGTATGCATCTCTCAAACATCCTTATTCAACAGTTATGGTCAAAGTGATCACATGAAAATAGCTATCAGCATCTTCAGTACTGACCATACAACTGGTGCAGTCAAGGAAAGGCGAGCACAAGAAAAACCACAGCCACCAAGTAAAGGTTTACAATTTAATATATGAACAGTCACAATTAGATAGCACTAAAAGAGAGAGGGGGTTTTGAGTGTAATGTTATGGCGATAATAACTTTTACTAATACAGATAAGTCATTGATAAGACAAGTATCACCATGCTTCACATAAGAAGTCAGTTTCCAAGAAGTTAGTGAACAGAAACAGGTGGGTGGCTGGACCATAGGTTTATTTAAGGTGACCAAAAAGCAACAGATAATGCCTAAAAAGGGGGAAAAAAAATGTGTGCTAGTGTTCACTAGGAAAAATGAAGGGATAAAGTGTACAGCAGTAGAAAATAACACCTAAATGGGAAGTGATCTGAAGTCTTTGTTTCACATGTTAGGCAGATTCCACGTGTTTGGCAGATTCCACATGTTCCCTCACCCTTGGCCAAGAAGATGACCTTCTATTGTCATGACAAAAAAATTCTATCCTCAGAAAGCTACTTTTTGGTGAATTTTTCATAGCACCTCATTCCATCTACATGACAAAATGAACAGCTACAGCCTGTACAACTGAATAAATTCTCTTCTTCACACATTGTGGTTATTAAAGCAAGTGGAAAACTGAGTCATTCATGCTTTTCATGAGTATTTTTTACAATATACGTTTTTCCCTCAGAGGTAACAAAAGCATCTTGAGGGCTTTATTAGCTTGGTTTCAATTTTAGTTTACAAGACGATAGCCTGGAGGAAGGGGAGAGAAACTGAATCAAATAAAACACAAAGCAATTGCTCCTGATGTTTCTCTAGCAAATATTTCCTAAATGGACCTCCTCATATTACTGTTCTCCATACCAGTAAGGCAATAGCCACATAAGAGATTTCAGGCCAAAAATAAGGTAAAGAAGCCATCAGGAAAGCAAATATCCTGCCTGTGTATTTGAATGTTGCATTACTCACCTGTTTCTTTTCCACTTCAGATGTCCTGATATTCCTCCCTTCCAAGCCAGCTGCAGCATGACTGCTAGGCAGAGTCACAACAGTTTTCATGATGGAGAGTTTCTTAGGCACAAGAGGTGTCACTGGAAAAACAATTTTAATGGAAACAATTCCTTTAAAAACTATCCACAGGGATATGTATCAAGTACTTTTCAGAATAGCACTGATTTTGTACTCTAAAAGCAGATCTGACACACTAAGTGGGACAATGCAAATACTGACATTTGAACCAGTCACCCTGCTTTCCTCTTGTCAGTGAAGAGAAAGAGACATTTCTACAGCACTACTAATCCTATCCTAAAAGAGGTATCTGAAAAAGGTCAGATTGATCATTCCCTTTATAAAGAATGCCTGTTTACCACTACAGCTTGTACCCAGCCTTAGCTTTAATGACTGGTTACACAGTATCCTAGACCATAAGAAATCAGTATCTGATTTCCCAGAACCATACAGGCTTTTATGACTGCTACTAGAGAGAGCATGCAGACCTTTCTGTTCTAGAAATTGAAGTAGGGAAGACTTCACCTTGTTTTAGAACTTGAATTTCCTAGAGCTGGGTAGGTATTATTGAACAGCTCTAGCATTCTGCTTAGCAGAAAACAGAATCACACTTCCTAACAGCCACAACATCGTAGGAACACATCCTGAACGCTAAACAGCATATTTTATTTGCCCTCTAAAGATTTCAATTATTAATCACGAAATGAGCCGGTTTTAGTTCCCTAGATCTTCCAGGAATCTAGATCTTCTCCTATGTGCAGCATATAAACCCTTCCCCACTTTCCCCTAGCACTGCTGAAGTAGGAGTCAGTGGGTTCAGTGGCTCATTTAACCTTTCGTCAGCTCCTTCTGTTGTTGATGGTGAGAAACAGCCTCCCCTAGAGTCATCTCTTCTCCAGACCAAGTCAGAGTACTGAAAGTCAGGTCTGTGCTCTCAGTGGCTCTCAGGTACGTCTCTCCCTAAGGTGAGTTGAGTGTCTTTTGGCCACTGTCCCTTTGTTGATACCTGAAGCCTTACACATTGGAGGAGACACAGTAACACAGGGCAAGCTCCTCCTTCAATGAGTGTACGCTACACCACATCCAGGCCTGCAGATGGGTCCATGTGCCGCGGTTAGGGCCAGGTCTGCGTGTAAGCTGTGTGTAAGATAAAGGAGAAGCAGAAGGAAAGGAAGGAGGGAAGCCTGTATCAATTCTCCTGCTCTCCTGTCAGTTATTGTTAACTATTCCAGACA